CCCCAAAAACTCACTCTCTCTCTCCCCACATACACACAACACATTCCCTGTCACACTCCACTCCCCCCCCATTTGAAAAGCATGTTGCAGTCACTTGCATGCTGGGATAGCTGCCCATAATGCACCACTCCCAATGCCATTGCAAGTGCCACAAATGTGGCCACTGAAGCTGTCAGTGTGGACAGACTGCAGCGCTTTCCCTACTGCGCTCTCCGAAGGCTGGTTTAACTCAAAGCGCTCTACATCTGCAAGTGTAGCCATGCCCTAAGGTACCACAAGGACTCCTCGTTGTTTTTATGTGGGAATTGTAACTTTCCAGCCATGTCCCTCTTCCCCACCCTTCCTATGCTGCAACAGGGCCAGTGTTGTGTTCCTGAATCTGCCTCAAACAATATCCCGAGAGGTGTAATTGTCCAAATTATCCCAATGGGATCTTGACTCTGAAGCCCAGTGTCATCATTCATTATTTTACTACTGATCATTTTAGCAGAAATAGCCAGTTAATGTGCTGATTCCTTGCTGTTGAAAGGGAGGGCAATGAGGAGTTCAATCCCCTCCCTCTTTCCCTCCAGTTATGAAAGAACTGACTTTAAATTCAAAAGAAAGAGGAGTTGCCTCACTCCTGGGTGCCAAGAACTCAAGCCATCTTTCCCTAATCATCAGTCCCCTTTATGGATACAAAAATATACAGCATATTGAAAATGTGACCACTTTGTAAAACAAATTAATGTACTATGAAATGAGGCCCTCTGTACTGATTGTATTACTTACACTTCATATCTAATAAAATAGAAATCTCAATTTTTGAGTTTATTAATCCACATGTGCACTTTGAATCCTAAAACTGCAAGCTCCGTGGGATGGGGCCAGCTTTTGTCCAGCACCACCCAGGACAATGGAGCCCCATTCCAAATCGGGTCTGGGCACTAAACACAAAGACAGTACCGGCCACATATCCATATCCGTTAGTATAAAACCATCTCGGAGACAAGAGATTAATCCTTGGAGTCTGGGTTCTGAGATAGCACCATGTCCCCTCTCAGAGGCACTGAAGGAACATGACCCGATTCCCAGAGAGTCTGGGCAATTATTACTGGGCCCGATTAGAACCAGGTCACTGGGGTCTTTGAGTGATGGGCCTGCAGCATTTGGGGCAGTTCAACTGTGTTTGGAAAGATGCCCCCCTTTTATTCGCTGCCCCATGGTCTGAGTGCAGGGTCATCTCCAACTGCAGAGAGAAGCAGGGGTCCCAAACTGGTGTTCCAGGACCCAAGGGGACAGTGCTATGGACACTCCCAGCCCATGAGATTAGGGCTCAGACTCGCAGTGTCTCTGCAGTCTGGAGGCAGCCCTGCTTAGATCAGTGGTTTTCAAAGTTTTTTCTAGGGACCCAGTTGAAGAACATTGTTGATGCCTGCGACCCAACGCAGCTGTGGATGAGGGGTTTGTGGTGTGGGAAGGGCTCAGAGCTGGGGCAGAGGGTTGGGGTGAGGGCTGTGGGGTGGGGCCACAAATGAGGGGTTCAGGGTAGGGGATGAGGCTCTGGGCTGGGGCAGGAGGTTGGGGTGTGGGAGAGGGTCAGGGCTCTGGGCTGGGGGTGCAGGCTCTGGGCTGGGGCCAGGGATGAGGGGTTTGGGGTGCAGGAAGGGGTTCCAGGTTTTGGGGGGCTCAGGGCTGGGGCAGGGGATTGCAGCACACTGTTACCTCCGGCAGCTCCCCGTCAGCGGCGCAGCCGGGGTGCACAGCGGATTGCGCTGCACCCTGGAAGCGGCCAACAGCAGGTCTGGCTCCTAGGCAGAGGCTCTCGCCCGCAGGCACTGCCCCAGTTCCCATTGGCTTGAGCCAGTGCTCAGGGCAGGGGCAGCGCGCAGAGCCCCGTGAACCCCCTGCCTAGACGCCGGACCTGCTGCTGGCCACTTCTGGGGCACAGCGCCGTGTCAGAAAAGGTAGGCACTAGCCTGCCTTAGCTGGGCAGCATTGCCAACGGGACTTTTAGCGTCCCGGTCAGCAGTGTTGACCAGAGCAAGGCGACCCAGCACTTTACATGCCGGGACCCAGTAGTAGGTCACGACTCATGGTTTGTAAAACCCGGGCTTAGATCATGAGGTGCCCGGAGACATAGGGGTAGGGGGCACAGACACTCACTCCCCCAGCAATTCCATGGCTCCTCCTGCTCCTGGGGCCCCTGGCACTCATTGCCCCCCACTTGGGCTGGAGGACGAAAAGGGCCCCACCTGCCAAACACCCCCACCACAGCCCCCCTCAACCGTGCCTGCTGCTTCCATTCGCCCTCTAATCCCCGCCATTCCACCCTTAGGGCCCCCACCCAAACTGAAAGAAAAAGAGCCCCACCAGCCAGATTCACCCACAGATCTAAGTCCGTGCTGTCACTGCCCCCCACCCTCAATACCCCCATCCTGCCCCTCAATACTCCCACAGGCCCCAACCCCACCCTCAGTACCCCCACAACCCCTTTCAGTACCCTACAACACCCTCACCCACAGTACTCCCACAGCCCCCTCAACATCCCCACCCTGAAATACCCCCGCGGCCCTCCACCCCGCCCCCGCCATCAACACCCCCACGGCCCCCCTCAGCATCCCCACCCTGAAATACCCCTGCGGCCCCCCCCTCAGCATCCCCACCCTGAAATACCCCAGTGGCCCTCCACCCTGCCCCCGCCGTCAATACCCCCGCGGCCCCCCCTCAGCATCCCCACCCTGAAATACCCCCACGTCCCTCCACCCCACCCCCGCCGTCAATACCCCCGCAGCCCCCCCCTCAGCATCCCCACCCTGAAATACCCCCGCGGCCCCCCCCTCAGCATCCCCACCCTGACATACCCCCGCGGCCCCCCCTCAGCATCCCCACCCTGAAATACCCCCGCGCCACCCCCTCAGCATCCCCACCCTGACATACCCCCGCGCCCCCCCTCAGCATCCCCACCCTGACATACCCCCGCGCCCCCCCAGCATCCCCACCCTGACATACCCCCGCGGCCCCCCCTCAGCATCCCCACCCTGACATACCCCCGCGCCCCCCCTCAGCATCCCCACCCTGACATACCCCCGCGGCCCCCCCTCACATCCCCACCCTGAAATACCCCCGCCCCCCCTCAGCATCCCCACCCTGACATACCCCCGCTGCCCCCCCCTCAGCATCCCCACCCTGACATACCCCCCGCCCCCCCCTCAGCATCCCCAGCCTGAAATACCCCCCGCCCCCCCCTCACCCCCACCCTGACATACCCCCCCCTCCCCCCCCCTACTACCCCCCCCCCTCCTCCCCCCCTACCCCCCCCCCCTCCCCCCCCCTGACAACCCCCCCCCCTCCCCCCACCCTACACCCCCGCCCCCCTCACATCCCCACCTGAAAACCCCCCGCCCCCCCTCAGCACCCCACCCTACTACCCCCCCCCCCCTCAGCACCCCACCTGAAATACCCCCCGCCCCCCCTCAGCACCCCACCCTGAAAACCCCCCCCCCCCCACCCCCACCCTACCCCCCCCCCCCCCCACACCCCACCCTACTACCCCCCCCCCCCCTCACCCCCACCCTGACAACCCCCGCGCCCCCTCCATCCCCACCTGAAAACCCCCGCCCCCCTCAGCATCCCCAGCCTGAAATACCCCCGCGCCCCCCTCAGCATCCCCAGCCTGAAATACCCCCCGCCCCCCCTCAGCATCCCCACCCTGAAATACCCCCGCGCCCCCCCTCAGCATCCCCACCCTGACATACCCCCGCGCCCCCCCCCAGCATCCCCACCCTGACATACCCCCGCGGCCCCCCCTCAGCATCCCCACCCTGAAATACCCCCGCGGCCCCCCCCCTCAGCATCCCCACCCTGACATACCCCCGCGGCCCCCCCTCAGCATCCCCACCCTGACATACCCCCGCGGCCCCCCCCTCAGCATCCCCACCCTGACATACCCCCGCGGCCCCCCCCTCAGCATCCCCACCCTGAAATACCCCCGCGGCCCCCCCCTCAGCATCCCCACCCTGACATACCCCCGCGGCCCCCCCCCTCAGCATCCCCACCCTGACATACCCCCGCGGCCCCCCCCCCTCAGCATCCCCACCCTGACATACCCCCGCGGCCCCCCCCTCAGCATCCCCACCCTGACATACCCCCGCGGCCCCCCCTCAGCATCCCCACCCTGACATACCCCCGCGGCCCCCCCTCAGCACCCCCACCCTGACATACCCCCGCGGCCCCCCCCTCAGCATCCCCACCCTGACATACCCCCGCCCCCCCCCCTCAGCATCCCCACCCTGACATACCCCCGCGGCCCCCCCCTCAGCATCCCCACCCTGACATACCCCCGCGGCCCCCCCCCTCAGCATCCCCACCCTGACATACCCCCCGCGGCCCCCCCCTCAGCATCCCCACCCTGACATACCCCCGCGGCCCCCCCCTCAGCATCCCCACCCTGACATACCCCCCCCCCCCCCCAGCATCCCCACCCTGACATACCCCCGCGCCCCCCCTCAGCATCCCCACCCTGACATACCCCCGCGGCCCCCCCCCAGCATCCCCACCCTGACATACCCCCGCGGCCCCCCCCCCAGCATCCCCACCCTGACATACCCCCGCGGCCCCCCCCTCAGCATCCCCACCCCTGACATACCCCCGCGGCCCCCCCCTCAGCATCCCCACCCTGAAATACCCCCGCGCCCCCCTCACATCCCCACCCTGACATACCCCCCCCCCCCCGCCCCCCCTCAGCATCCCCACCCTGACATACCCCCGCGCCCCCCCCTCAGCATCCCCACCCTGACATACCCCCGCGCCCCCCCCCCTCAGCATCCCCACCCTGACATACCCCCGCGGCCCTCCACCCCGCCCCCGCCGTCAATACCCCCCACTCCCCTCAGCACCCCCCTGCCCTCACCTCCGTGCCCCCCATTCACCCCCAGCACCCCCACTTGCCCCCTCGGCCCCCCTCCCCCCCAGTGCCCCCGCAGCCCCCCGGCCCGCTCCCGCCAGCGCCCCGCGCTTACTGCGGTGCCAGCAGAGCCCCAGGCCGTGGCGGGCGAGCCGGGGGCTCCGCAGCACGGCCCGGCCCGCCGCCCGCAGCGCCTCCATCGCCGCGCTCTGCCGGGCCGCCCCGGGCGGGGGAGGCGAGGCGAGGCCAGCGCGCGCTCCCGCCCGGGCCCCCGGGGCACGCTGAGTCGCTCGAGCGCGCGCCCGGCTTTGGGGGCGGGGCTTGCTGCGCGGGGTCAGGCTGCCGGAGTGGGCGTGGCTCGTGGGGAAGGGCGCGGCTAAAGGTTGATGGAGGCGGGGTCTGCGAAATGGGCGGAGTTTGTGGGTGAGGGCCGTTGCAGGCGGGGGCGGAGTCTCTCCACCGAACCCTTCCGTCGCCCAGAGGCGCGGCCTGGCTGGGCGCATGCGCGGCGCGGGGCGCTCCCGGTGACGCAGGCTGCTGGGGTGCTGGGTGTGCGCGTGCGCGTGCGCCGGTTGCTGTGGTGTTCGGCCGGCGGTTACCGGGGCAACGCGCGGAGGCGGGAGACGCGGAGCCCGAGTGGCCCCGGGATGCAGCTGCGGCACGTACGGACGCTGCTCACCCCCCAGGTCAGCTCCCGACTCGCGGGCGCGTGAGGGGTGAGGCGGGTCCGTGGCGGGCGGGCCGCCTGGAGCCTGGGAATCCTTCACGCTCGGCCCAAGGGGCTGCGGAACTCCCTGCCGCAGGACGTGAGGGAGGCCCAGAGCCCGGCAGCCGTCAGAGAGGGGTCCGCCCAGAAACATGGGGGCAAATGCCGACGCCCACACCAGGCTCGGGCTGCGTTGCGGGCCCTCCAACGTGTGGTAGTGCGCATCGGAAAACGTAATCCCCAGGGAACATACCGAGTGGTGGGCTCTGAATTAGCTGTTACCCCTCCAGAGGAGAGGTCTTGGAGTCAGTGGCGATTAGCCAGGCTGGGCGGGGATGGGGACCTGCGCCTCTGTTTGCCAGATGCGGGAATGGGTCACTGGACGGTCTGTTCACTCCCTCTGGGGCACCTGGCCCTGGCCCCTGTCGGCAGACAGGACACTGGGCTGGACGGGCCTTTGGTCTGACCCCGTCTGGCCACTCTTATGTTCTAATGGACCTTGCTCCAGTCCAGACTGGCAATGGGCGATGTTTTCTTCCAGGATGGTGCTGCAAAGGTCACCTGCATGGCTTGGTCCTACAACAATGCCAAGTTTGCTGTCTGCACTGTAGACAGAGTTGTGCTTCTGTATGATGAACATGGAGAGAGAAGGGACAAATTTTCCACCAAGCCTGCTGATGCAAAGGTAAAGAGATTGTTTGTTTGCTTCTGTGTAACTGGGCACCCGACACTCTTGATCTGTGACACACTGATACTTTACATGCTGCTATGCAGGGCAGTTTTTGGCAGTAGCAGAGCAACTTGTAAGTTGCTCCATACTTTTCAGAGGGCTCATAACAGCTTGAAATGCTACACCACATTCTGCATAGCCCCAAAGCACAGCCTTAAATGTTGCTCCCATCAGAGTACAACTATAGGCCCAAACTGTTCCTATGCTGTTGTAAAGGGGACAGGGGAGGGAATGCTCAAGCAATATTCTGTATAATTATACCATCCCTACTTCCTCGACGTCAGCTGAACTCTTCGTTGAAGCAGAGGCCAAAGTTCTGTCTTGTCAAAACTTTTCAGAAAGTATGACACAGAGTTAAACCTTAGAGAGACTACTGTACGCTTTCTTCATAAAACAAGCAATGCACACGCATCACATTTTATATAGTATAAAGTACTGTAAATAGTTTTTGGAATACTAGGAATAACTTTTCAAAAAAACTATTAATAAATCTACTGATTTTCCTTATACAGATGTTTCCCCTTTTGTTTTTGTTACCTTATATTTGAATGTTTGCATCAACAATTTTTTTTATATTTTAGCACACACATCAAAACACATTCCCTTTTGAACTCTCTTTTGAGATGATTTTTCAGTCTTTATAATATGATCATAGTGTGTACTGTGTATCACTTGGACTTTTCAGAGCTTGAGAAATGGCAGCTTTTCAGTCCTTTTAAATGCTTCACAACCGTGTCAGCAAACAAACAGCCTGGAGATATCTACAGGTAGCTTGCATTTCAGCATAGCTGACTGGTCCTCTTGGTGGCTGGTGAAACAGAGGTCTGTAGTCTGTACCCAAAATGATACAGGGGTTGGATCAGAATATAAAACATCAATTTCATAAGAACATAAGAATGGCCATACTGGGTCAGACCAATGGTCCATCTAGCCCAGTAACTTCTCTTCTGACAGTGACCAGTGCTAGATGATTCAGAGGGAATGAACAGAATAGGGAAATTATCAAGCAATCCATCCCCTGTCATCCAGTCCAAGCTTCTGGCAGTCAAAAGTTTAGGGACACCCCGAGGATGGGGTTGTGTCTCTGACCATCTTCATAGAATCATAGAATCGTAGGACTGGAAGGGACTTCAAGAGGTCATCTAGTCCAGTCCCCTGCACTCACGGCACAACTAAATATTTTCTAAACCATCCCTGACAGGTGTTTGTCTAACCTGCTCTTATGCCCTATTTATGATCTATTTAAATAAATAGTATTCTATTATTGTTTAACAGTGCAATTAAAACTGCAATTAATCGTGATTTCTTTTTTTAATCTCACGATTAATCATGATTAATTTTTTTAATCGTTTGACAGCCCTAAAATAAAGTTAAAACCCTACTGGTGCCAAATTAACAAACTATATCAGATTCAAGCAAAGTTTCTCACCATGTGTTTTCAGCAGTCTTACTGACCAAACCCTGTAGGTCAGAATTCCTTCCCGCAGAATCCAGTGAAGGCTTCCTTTGTTGCTTCAGGTGTAGAGAATGCGATGGGAAAGGGAAGAGAGAAGGGTATACTGGGATGTTCTCCCTTCCTTTTTATAGTTTCAGTCCTTCCATTTGTAAAACATTTCCAGCTGGATACCAGGAGACAAAAAGTCTATGCGGAAGTACATTCCCTGCGGCTTTTTCTCATCTATTTGAGCTTCCTGTGTTTCCCCTTCCTGCTTGATGACTCTGTTTACTGCAAATTAAACAGAGCACACATTCCTTTGTTTAGGACAGACCTATTTGCCAACTTCTGCTTGGGGAGAGCTGTGATTTGGAACATGTTAATAACATCATACTGGAAAATCTTATAACTTCACATAAAATGTTGCCATGCATATTTTGCCAGGACAATAATGACCAGCAAATTATGAGTTTTCAAATGATCCTTCACAAGGCATACTTTATACAAAGATGATTGCAATAGTGTTTAGGGCTTGGACCCAAGGATACATTCTTGTATGACTGTTCTTATATCCAGTGTATGTGCCATCCACCTACCTGTGAGTGTGTATACCTGTGTGTGTGTTTAAGGGCTGCCACTGTGAGAGTGCATGCTTTTGTTTGTGGTCTGGCAGTGGTGTTTGGCCATGTGCAGTCGTGGGAGTAAGCTTGTGCTTCTGTGTGCATGAACACAGCAATAGGGAGCCATATCTCTAATTGCCTAGCATGCATCCAGTTAACAACTTGTACAGAGGGAGAAATCAGACTGAGCTAGCAGGTTACCTAATCCTTCAGCTGGCTCTGCTTTGCTGGGGTATCTCACTCACACTGACCCACCCGCATTCCATAGATCCCAAGGCCAGAAGGGACCATTGTGATCATATAGTCTGACCTACTGTATGACACAGGCTATAGAACTAATTCCTAGGATGTAGCTTTTAGAAAAACATCCAATCTTGATTGGAAAATTGTCGGTGATGGAGAATCCCCCATGGCCCTTGGTAAGTTCCAGTGGTTAGTTACTCTCATTAACCTCCCTGCTAGATATTGTATATAGCAGCAATAACCCACAGCCAGGTGCCTGGCAACACTAGATTAGTGTAGTCCATAACTGCAGGAAGCTCACACCAGGGAGGTGGGATGGGAATGGGATCAGCTTGTACATTGTATGGGTCTTTGCGCTACTGAATAGGTTGACCTGTGGCCCTTACTCTGGGTCTGTCTTGAAGTTCTTTTGGGACATGTTTTATTAACCTCACCCTCGGTCCCTGCTTCTTCCCTTCTCTCCCCAGTATGGCAGGAAGAGCTACATGGTGAAAGGCATGGCGTTCTCTCCTGACTCCACCAAAATCGCCATTGGACAAACAGACAACATCATTTACGTCTACAAGATCGGAGAGGAATGGTGAGGGCCTTGGTATATCATCCCTCTGTGTATGGTGCCATCCCTGTGGTGCCATGCACCTGTGTGTGCGGTGCCTCCTTTCTTCCAGTACCGCAGGCTGCTTTGGAAATGCACAATGTGTTCTTCACACCTAGGATTTTTGCCTCGGTATTCAGCCAGATCTCATTCGACACTAGCCCTCACCTTCCCTTCAAATCATACCTTACCCAACCCTGAACTGCGGTCCCCCATTACTCTGGTTACATTGAGTGGTTTTGTTGAACAGCATAAAGGTTCTTCAGGTACTACCTGTCAGATCCCTTCTGCAGGTGTGTGCCAGCCAGAGGTCTGGAGGAGCAGGCTATAGGGCCTATGCACACCCTGCCTACTTCTTTGTGCCCTCTGACTTTTGCCGGGTCCTTATAAGGAATACAGACATGACTGCTTCTCAATTCCTTCTGGGGACAGTTGGGGCAATAGGAATTCAGCTCCCTTTTATAGAAGTTTGGCTTTTCTCGATGTCTGTCGTTCCTATAGTTAGTGTTAGGGATATTGAGCCCCAACAAGCATATTGTTTTGGCTCATGGCTTGCTTGTGCCTTTCCTGCCCCACTGCAGGCCGTACTAATGTGGCAGAAGTCAAATTCCTCCACTCTCAAGCTGTGGCCTCCTGCAAATCAAATGTAGGTCACCATATTCTCCTGTGTATGCTGATGTGAGTGGGGAGTGAGGAAATGGGCAGAATGCACAGCCCCAGTGGACATGGCTGTTTAGAAGGTCAGTGCTGATGCATCCAGGACATATACATCCCCTGCAGTATGGATCTGTAGAGGCCCTTACCTACAAGAACTACAATTGTTATGGGAAGCAACTGTTTTAAAGGCCTGGTCCCCGTCCCGTCCCCCCCATGATGGTCTGCGCCCCCTGTGTGTGGTTCTAGGGAGCTGTTTGGGCTC